TTGTCCTTTTTTTAAAATACATATTTACAGTCTTTTGCGTAGACTATCCAAGTTTTAGAAACATTTGTTTTTTTGCAATGTTTGTCATTCATGAAATGGTAATTCCAAGGATATCCCTGCCTGGCAAAGCATCTGAATGGATTGCATCAGCCATTGTGGAAGATTTCCCATTTTAGACCAAGAGGAATTTGTGGGGTCAGATGATGAACAATGAAAGGGATTCTTGCTCATTGCGAGGCCAGACGAATCCAGTGGCAGTTGAGGGTCTGAATTGCAAATCCAACCTGTCATCTCCTTGTCAACTGCGAAAAACCTCTATTCACTTTAGGCACTAGTAGAGTTTGTTATTAGGGTTTTGTGTTGTTTTCCAAAAATTTGAAGGGAAATTAGACTCATGAGGCATTTAAGTGAACACTGAATCTGAACTTTGGGAAAGAGAAACAAGAAATAGAAACTTTCAAATGATTGAACAGCCAGCCACAATTATGACTGTAACTAACCAAAGTTATGGGTTCACTCCATGTTCCTCAAAGGGCACTCTGTGGGGGCCACAGGCAGCTCACAAATGGCTAACAGACTGGATTTCAGTGGTTTTGATGCTCATGGCAACATTAACAGACTGAATTTATCATGAATCAACACATTTACATGTGAAATTTAATGAAAAGTAGCTTTAACTCATTGTTTTCACTAAAAGCAACTTCACTTCCTCCCCCCCCATTAAATCTGGGGAGATTTTTGGCCTTAACTGGGAACAGGTGGAATGAGGCCTGCACAACTTTCTGCCTCGCTGTACACTTGGTTCTAGGCCAAAGAAGGTTGAGAACCACTGCCGTAGGAATAGAGAAAAGGCAAGCTGTTTGAGAAGGTTTATTGTGATGATTCAGGATCCATTCCACAAATATTTATTGAACGCCTACTATGTCAGCTCTGTGCATTGCCAAACACCACTTGGTTCATTAGAATATACCAGCTAGAAAAACAACTGAATGGGAAATGAGATGATGAAGCCCCCCTTCTGAGAACCAAACGCAGAACACGCTGTCTGAAATCACATCTGAGTGATCTGCCCCCACTTGATGGATGATACATAGGGCCTTAGTAGGAGTCTTTTTAAGAGAATAATTATTACAATACGTTCTAGAAAAGAGCCATAATAAAAGACCATAAAATGGCTCTTGACTGATACATCAGACCAGATCATACTAGTTGATAAAAATAATGATGCCTGCATGGTAGAGCGGCACCATTTAGTAAAACTACAAACGCCCACAAAGAAAGGAATGAGCAAGGATGTGCTGTTTGGAGAGGCTGAATGTGGGAACTGTGGGGCATCCAAATAAAGCAGTTGAAGTTCACACACATATCTACACACCCACTCAGGCCTTATTAATCACTGAAAACTTATTTTAGCAACTGCCATTTTACCTTAGGACTTTCATTTCAGTACTGTGTTGCCAAATCATTTGGTCCATGGGATCCATAGCATGTAATAAATTGATACAGATGTATTTATGTTTAACAAGTAAAATAATAAAATGACAGGTAAGCATATTGATGACTGAACTCTAAACTATCTGATGGCAGACTCAGTCTTTCTCTGATCGATCAGATTCCTCTAAATGTAATGTCCATGCTATGAAGGCTCAATAAGACAGAGTAAATCTAAATGGCCGGTATCAAGTGAAATAAGTCAGATAGAAAAAGTTAAGGACCATATGATTTCACTGGTATGTGGAATATAAAAGTGAAAGCAACAAATGAACAAACAAGAAAAACAAACAACAAATCATAGACAGAGATAACAGTATGACAGTTACCAGAGGGATGGGGTGTGAAGGTAGTAAAGGGTAAGGGGATCAAATATATGGTGATAGAAGATTTGACTTTGGGTGGTGGGCACACATACAGGTGATGTATTATAGAATCATGCACTTGAAACCTATATAATTTTATTTACCAACTAGAGGCCTGATGCATGAAATTCGTGCAAGAGTAGGCCTTGCTTCCCTCTGGCACCTGGGACCCCGGCTTCCCTCGCAGTCCTGGCTTCATCTGGAAGGTCGTCCAGAAGGATGTCCAGTCCAATTAGCATATTACGCTTTTATTATTATAGATGTTACCCCAATAAAACTAATTTAAAAATCTATATGACTGGACCTTATTCTGTCTCTAAGCACAGCATCAAAGTATAATTCCATGTTATTTGTTACAGCTCATATGCAAATTATAACTAATAATTAATAAAAGGTAGCTAATGTTGGCACCAAGCAGAATTGCTAAATAATCACCTTTATGGGCTGGAATTTATGGGAAAAATCAGCATTTTGATGGACTATGGTTTGGAATAGAGTTGTGATTATGGTAGGAAAGTACTTTCCATAATTATGAGTCAGAGCTTAGTCATCCTCTCCTTTCACTTTGGCTTGTTAATGTATCTCAAGTTAAGCAATAGCACTTTCAATCTTGACCATTTCTGTTTGTTGATCATTAATCTAATTCGTTATCACTAGTTACTATTTTTGGATGTAGGCTGTAAATGTATTCATATGGAACTCTCCCATTATTACTGTGATGTAATCTTAATGTTGATTAGTAATATTACGAATATTGGCATTCTTTTGTTACTTTGTCAACTAAAGCTCTGTGTGGTGCCCAAGAAAGACCCACCTTATAGCAAATGCTCTTTTAAAATATTAAAGTGAGGTTCCAATAAAGCTTGCCTGCAAACCTCCCATGTTTAAACACACCTTTACATGCACAGACCTTTGTGCATAAGTTGGAAATGTCTTACAGGCCTCCTAACTGATCAGTGTGATTCAGGAATGAAGTTACTGAAGACTGATATTCATGCTCCCATTGTAAAGGAGGGAAAAATTGAGACCTGAAATAATTCAATGGCCTGGCACTGCTCAGGCAGGTCATGACCCCAGAGACAAAAAAAAGTTCCCGGGAAGCATTTCTAAAACTTTACTAGAAAAACAAGGCATATTTAATTAATGGATAACCCGATTACTCTGTTGTTTAATCACTCTTGGATCAAAATCATTTTTTAGCTTTAAAGTCACCCTTTATTTTGAGGCTTAGAAGTAAGTTATCAGCATTTATAGCAGAGAGGAGGGATGCTCCATGAAAAGTGATAACAAAATTAAATGAATAATGGGATATGAGAAGTTATTTAATTGCTCATGACTTTTCTAAGACAAGTGCAAAGAAAGCTTCTAAAGATATTTGTCATTTTTGTTGTTGTTTGTTTTGTCCTTCTAACTATAATAGAGCAAGAGTTTAAACAATATGGCTGATATAAGAAAGCTGGAAAATTATGCTAAGTAAATGTGTTGACAGCTGACCAATGGGAGGTATTACTAATGAAGATTGAAAAAGGCATTTCCCTGGCCAGGTAGCTCAGTTGGTTAGAGTGTCGTCCCAATACACCAACGTGTTACGGGTTCAATCCCCGGTCAGAATATATACAAGAAGCAACCAATGGATGCATAAACAAGTGGAACAACAAACCGGTGTTTCTCTCGCTCTCCCTTCTCTCTCTAAAATCAATCAGTAAATCACAAAAAAGTGGCATTGCTTGGTGAAAATTGTACAATGAGGATAAATAGTGTTGTGAAGATGGTTCACATTTTTAATTTTGTCTTTGTTTTTTTAACATCTCACTAGAAATGTTATTTTAGGCAAGTCTTTTTGCTTTGTGTTTCATAAAAGCAAAAGTATGCATTTCCCAAATAATATATGTGGAATATATTCAGATTTGGGGGAAGGGTATAATAACAAAAAAATTAGAACTGAGCTTTTTTTCCTTCAAGATAATAAAGTTTCCTTGGACAAACAATGACTATGACCTGAGTTGAAGCAGAACTCCCTCTTTCAAGGGCAAAGGTGATGTGGGACTCTCTGGAGTCACAAGTAGCATTTCAAAGAAGCAAATTGCTTCCCGTGCTCAGAGACAAAGCAATAGGTTTTAGTTTCACAGTAGAGCCATGTAGCTCCCCATACACTCAACTTTAAAATTGCCAAAAAGTATGATTTAGAAAATGATTTAAATTGTGTAACAAAATGTCCATAATACTTTTCATATTTAAAATATTTATGTTACTGTATCCATTGGTAACCACAAAACCATGTATACTGTATTTTTATGAGCTTTTGGGAAGCTTTGCAAAGGTAATTTTGATTATGCTCAATTTTTGCCTAATGAATTTACCTTAGAACCTGACCCCAACATAAATAAGAAAAGACCACACTATAATTTAACATGTATCTGAGATCATAACACAGGGCTTCTCCCTGCAAAGCTACCTTATTCCAGATAACTTATCTAGAGCATAAAAGCAGAGCCTCAATATAATATTAATTTCAAATTAGCCTATAAAACCAAATCAACAAAATATCCAAGGTGATGTATTTTTGCATTTTCTGAGTTACCCCTACATAGTTGGATAGTTTTTGCTAAAGCATTACCAAATGCCTGAGATGAAAGGGAATTTAAGGCCCAGGCTCTCAGCAGGGTCATTTGCTAAACTGGCTGCAGGACCTCTCTGCATCCCTTGGTCATACTGAAGCTCGGTGGTTTTGGTGACCATAGAGGAATCATTTGACCTGTTGCTCAGGTTGTCCAGTTACTGCCACTTCCCTTACTGTCATAAGTAGACCCCCCAAATGACAGGTGGGAACTTTGCTTTGGAATCTGCTTGTGCAGGTGAGGTCTTACCTGGTAACTACACAGTCCAGGTGGTTTTCCACAGGCAGGATTTTTATTGCACAAGCCCATGCCCTTTTTCTTTAAAGTACAGCAAATATGGCCTCCAGAAAACAGTAGGAATCCAGACAGCAGGGAGGCTAATGTTCATGTTCATGCTTTTCTCTTCTAATTTGGGAATTGGCATAGAGAGGGGGCTCCACGCACTGCTTTCCTCACGTTTCTCAGGTGGAAGCAGAAAATATTCATGGATTTGTTTTCCTTCCTCCCTCTCCCGCTGGCCCTTCAGATTTATGAGGAATCCAAGATGAATCTGGAGCAGGAGAGGCCATTCATCTGCAGTGCTCCAGGCTGCTCCCAGGTGAGTGTGGGGATCTTCTGCTCATCTTAGAGGGGTCACACCTACCTTCCAACAGGGGAGCAACTCTCTCTTGACAATCATGCCTCCTGTGGGCTTTCATTTTTCACCAAGGTATCATATCGTCAAAGTCCCCCTCACCATCATCACCATCATCATCATCATCAATGTGTTCATTTTTCATTTTGAATAGTTTGAACTACTTCCCTCATAGCCCCTGAAAAACATCGGTGTTGGCCACTTCCACCCATAACTTCTCCCTGGAAGTACGCTAGTTGCATCTTGCCCACCAGATGCTCAGGTTAGTTATTTCAGAAAGAGGGGAAGGAGGGTGCCTGCTGTTACAACAGCTACTTGAATATTGGCTCTTTGGTTTACTGGTGAAAGAGCTTACAATCAGTGGTTGAATTCTATTTTGTTTTGTTGTCCTATTTGAGTTAAATAAACCCCCTGTAACTCTTTGAAAACCTACAGTCTTTCTATTTATTTAAACTTTAAGAGGGGAAGTTGGCCTACTGTGCTAGATTAAACCTCTTTTAGCCTCCAACGGCTCCAATCAAGTGGAATTGTGAGAATTAGATGAGATGCTGCATATAGTTTAGTATAGAGCCTGCACATAAGTGTTCAATTAATGTTTGCTGTTGTTACTATTCCTGCTGCTCTTATTATTACACTGGAACCTGTCCCTAGAAGAAATTGGAAATATCCATCATCTAACATCAGAGTGTTACATATTGTCTTTGGAATTTGATGGTGACTTTTTCTATACATGACCCTTTGGGTGTCTTCATGTTCCAGTCATTGGAAAATGACCACATATGGTCACTCTCACGCCAAGATCTTCATTCTATTGGATATGGGACAAGCTCAAAGCACAGGCTCTTTCCAACGTGGGTAGTTAAGCTCACTTGCCCTAAATTGCCCACTTTCCTGCGCCACCCTATTTATGTGGTGCGGTTGGCAGCACCGTATGTCCAGGAGTCAGATGAGAGGTGATGTCTATTGAGGGCCCTTGTTATATCTCCCCAGAGAGTTTGGAGGGTCTGGGAGCCTTTTGGAGAGAAGATGCCATGGAAAAATGAATGTTGTTGCTGGTGCTGCCTTGTGGTGTTGCTGGTAATATCAGCCACTGACTGAGAAACCAGAGTCCTTTGCTTGGATTCTAGCAAGTTCTCCCAGGGCTTTTTTTGTGAATGTTGATTTGCAACCTATAAATAAGAAAAGAAGTAGAGAAAATTATTTTGAATTTAAACTACTTTTCAGCAAACTGGTTTTGGAGGTCATTTTGAAATAGGAAACACTGGGACAACATAGATGGGATGATCCATAACTGGGAAAATCCTACTATCCATTGTGAGTGCAGACAATGGCCTTACCTAAATAAGGTAACGCTGGTTCCCTTTTAGTTTCCTTAGGGAGAAGTCTCAAGGGCCAAAGGGAACCAGAGAATTTGAGCATTATGCTTTGGTTTAGCCATGAAAATGTGACCTTAAGTTTTCTTCAGTTCAAGTCACTCAGCAAATTTTGGGGTGCCTACTATGTGCATATGACATATGTATCTCTGTCCTCACAGAGCTTCTAGTCTAGGCATCATATTTGCAACCACATAATCAGTTAATCAGTTAATTTCTGAATTACAATTTTCCATGAAGGAAGAGCACAGGCCACCTTGAAGAGTATCATAGGGGGATTTCCTTTCCTTGGGGAGGGTAATGGGAGCTCCGCTATGGAAGGGGCATTTAACGGAATGGGATCCTCCAGGGATCTGGCATACTATAAACCAATGAGGTTCATAGCGAGTCAGGATTCCAGCAGAGCCCAGATTGTGACTGGTAGTAGAGGAGAGCCTTTGAGGAAGGTTGTTAATCACATCTAATACTTAGATAAGTCACAGAGAAGGGAACTGCATGTAGGTCATCAGACTGTGTGACAAAGTTTCCTAGCCTTGTCACTGTTGACATCTGGTGCTGATTAATTCTTGGAGGGGGGACTGTGCATTACAGGATGCTTAGAAGCATCCCTGATCTCTACCTACTAGATCCCAGTAGCACTCACTCCCTAGTTGCGAAAACGAAAAATGTCTTCAGGAATTGCTAACCATCCCAAATTGCCCCAGGTTGAGAATGCCCAATGGTTTGAAGTTTGGCTTTAGCCTTCTTTCTTTTTGGATCCCTTCCTTTTGGGGGGTCACCTACCTCTAACTGATGCTCTCCACTGGATTTTAAAGTTTGCTGTAAGCCATCTCTTCTCCTTTTTGGAATAAGGCAGTGTGTAAAAAAATAAATGCCATAGACATGTGGTCACTGGTGTCAGATGCTGCGAGAGCTGGGACAGTCAGAAGCCTGAGCAAAGGCTGTTGGGTTTGGCAGTGGGTGCTTGCCGGCGACCTATGAGAGAGGAGCCAGGGTGGGGGCCAGAGTGGAAGGATTAATGAGCGAGTGGGTGGCGAGGAAGTGGAGGTGGCCAGCATAGAGGACTCTTTCAAGAGCACTAGGGAGTGACGGGAAGCAGAGTGATATAATGGCAGCCTGAGAACGATGCTGCTTGAGAGAGGTTCTTTTTTAAATTAAAGGCGAGCCATGGCTGGATTTACTCAAGGGCAAGGATGAGTGAGCTGGCTGGCTTGAAGGTCCCCAACTGAAGCACCAATTCTGGGAAGATAGGGGATGTAGAACATCCTACGGAGGAGAGGGGGTGCTTATTCCTCTGAGAGAGGACGGAATGGAAATGGAATCTGTGAAGTTACATCAAATTCTGAGGTGGAGGTGGTAATAAAGGATGAAAGGGGTACCTTTCAAATGACCTTGAACTTCTCACCGAAGGAGTAGGTCATTTCCTTGAGAAGGCTGGGGACTGAGGAAAAGGCCAGATGAACATGAGAATTGAGGATTTGTATAGTTTCTTGGTTTTTAGTAAAACTCTAAGCCTCTCCCCTCAATGCCCTGCCAAATTTAAATGTAAAGATGCATTTAAAACTTGATGTCTCTATTTAATATGGAAGCGCTTCTTTTCCTCAGCAAGCTGTTATAAAACATGTGCATCTTTCATTTGAAGAGGTATTGGAATTGAGAAAGTGTAGTAGTTGCCCAGTGATTACAAGGATCTCCTGGTGGGAGGTTAGGAAATACCCCTGGAGTCAGTTGTGATCATGGCATTTACTTAGTGACATTCCATATCCTGGGGACCTGCTTGGAGAAGAAAGGATGGCCGGGAATTGGAAAGGGGAGTGAATATGAATTATCAATGCTGCATTGGGGATGATGGAAGGATTTTCTTCCCCCTTTCAATCATTGGAAAAACACTTGGCTCTATGAGGAACGGCCTATAGTGCCTGCGAGTACTTTTTGTGTTTATAATGCCTTATATATTTGCTTTGTCCCAGAAGTAATGAAAAACAGCTTCTCTCCTCTTTCTGATCTCACAAAGTTCAATGTTAAGCTCACTGTTTCTTTGTCCTCCACATCAATCATGTTTCAGGTTCCAGTGGCCTCTCTTAGCTCTGTCTTTGTTATAGACAATCCATTTTGGTTATTTATAATTTGCTGTTAGTTTCCTACCCAATTAAAAAAGACATCACAGATGTCCTATACTGTCTCTTTTGGAAAGTAATTTATAGTCAATATGAAATATAATGGAAATTATTATTATTTAGTAAGTATTCTAGTTAACATTCTATTTTAAGCTATTATTATACAGAGCCAAAAAATGGCTTACAGGTACAAAGTAAAGGATATTGCTATGTTGTTTGTTGATTTTATATACATATATATCACAGAAAAAGTTAAGTTACAAACTTTTTTGAGAGAAGGAATAAGACATTTAATCTATGTCTCTAAACCATACATGGTAATGTCACATAGTTGATGCAGTCATTATAAGGTGTTACAAAAGACCAAAGAATAGATGAATCTGCAGCAAAAACCCAAGTCATTATAAATCTTTGTATTCAGAAATCTCATAATTATCATGCTTTTCAAATTCTATACTCTCCAATTTATATATGACTGACATATAAATGTGTGATATTTATTTGAAGAATTACTTTTAGAATATTCTGAAGGATTTAACTCAGTAAATTCCCTCATTCTCATGAACACATCATACTATCTGCAGAAGAGAGTTCTATCATATTAGCGATGGCCATTGAAATTTATAATGACTCTGGAGGAACTGGGAAGCCCTGAAAGATTGCCTAAATTATCAAAGATTCGGAAATGTTCAGCAGAGTTTGTTGTCTTTTGTTATATTTGACTTTGATAAAGCAGATACTCTGTTAAGTCCAGTTATTTAAAAAATCCAGTCTGAGTCAGTATAGGCTAGGATCTACTATAATAACAAATTACCCCAGAGCTTCAATGACTTAAAACAACAAAGGCTGATTTCAATTGCCCAAGCATACACTTCTATTGTAGGTTGGCAGGATGTTTTTCATAATCCTTTAGTGACTAGGATAATTGAAGGGCCACTATTTCTAATATTGTGAATCACCATGCTGCAAGGGAGAAGGAGGGGGATCTCTAGAGGGTCTTGCATCAAGAATTAGATGCTCACATCTGGGTGACCTGTGACTTCCATTCATTACTCAATGGGCAGAACTAGACATATGGCCCCACCCAACCACATGAGGGCCAGGAAATACAATCCCACCATGTGACCAGAAGACAGACAGCTGAAAATATTTGGGAGCAGCATTTTGACAACCATAATATCACTCTTTGAAAATTAAAAATAAAGTATTGGTTTACAACACTGTACAGAGTATAAAATATCAAAAATAATTTGTCACACTACTATAAATCATATGTATAGTTATAAAAAAATCAGATAATGAGTGTCCAAGGTCTTCATAAACAGAAACATACTATACAAATGTCAGGGTGCATACTTGTAGGTTTATACCAGTATGTCAAATAATTAATCAAGACCTGTAATTCTTTCCCAAAGTCTGACATGAATCAAAAATTTTTTCCTACTTCATACATTTCTCCTACTTTCAGTTAATCTATAGATAATGTCTAGCATACTTACTATGTCTTAGACTTACTTTTACATCATTATGGATAACAATAACTACTAGAGAAGAGTTCCAAATAGTTTTGCAAAACTCCAGTACTACTCAGGTCTAAATTAATTTTAAAAATTGGACATGTTTTTCTCATATGTTTAGGTAGAAATGGGAGATTACTTTTGTCAGGTTAGTTATTCTTTGCAATCATAAATAAACATCCATTTAAACAATCTTTTATTCTTTAAAAATACAGCACATTTCTCTTGTAGATATTATTTTAATATTTTCAATATTATTAAGTTTCCTGTCTCTGTTTATCTTCATCTAAACACAAAGTTAAGGTCTATACTTAGATACCTCTAGTTCCTAAGGAAGCATCTAGTTTACTGATGACTCATCACAGTTGGTTATATTCAAGTCTTTATTATTATGTCTAAGAATAAAAGGCCTTCAAAGGAATTCACAGGGGAGGTGTGGGGAGTCAGATAATAGTGGAAGGCGAAGATCTTCTATGTCTTATTAGTACTCAGCCAGATTTTTCTACAACATAATTAAGGCCCTGGTTAATTATAAAGGAAATAATGATGCATATATTTGGGAGTAATTCAAAGGAGCATCCCAATATATTTGCTCACAGAAAATAATTTATCATTTTACTTACTCATGCTTTCACACCTTTTCAGAACAGTGTTTTGTTTTGCCTGTCACATTTGCAATGCTGAATAAATCTTTTCTCTGTAATGGCAAATATATATTACAAAACTGAATGGCTCCTCTCCCCTCTCCCTTTTTTCTCTATTTGTCTGACAGCGCTTCCCAACAGAGGATCATCTGATGATTCATAGGCACAAGCATGAAATGACTTTGAAGTTTCCCTCAATAAAAACAGACAATATGTTATCAGGTAAGGAGCCATCAGGCAAAGAGGCTTTGCGTGATCAGCCACCAATACTTGTTCTACTCATGATAGGGTGATTTCCACTAGAAAATTCTGTGCCATGAAAATATACATTTCTAAGGTATAAAAAAGACTTAAAATAATGGTAAGCAAAAATATAATCAGCTAATGCAGTGTTCACTCAAATAATTGGAGAGCTGTGACTTTTCATTTTCTGGCATGTAAATATTTATTACTCTAAAACTTGGCTCCATATATCTTTGTAAAAAGCACACACCTGTGATCACTCAGGTGGCAAATATAAATTAAGCATCTATAATGCATATTGCATTGTTCTGAGTGACATGCAAGGTGTAAAAATTTATATGATTTCTGTTCTCAAGGGTGTCACAATTAGTTTGTACCCTAACACTTAGCCAAAATAGAGGACTGGGACTGTCCACGATATCCAGATGGTTCCCAACTTACTAGATACTGGTAGTTTGACTTATGATGGTTCAACTTACAATTTTGTGAGTTTGTGATGGTGAAAGAGATAAGCATTCAGTAGAAAATGAACTTCAAATTTTGAATTTTGAATCTTGATCTTTTCTCTCATGGTGCTGGGCAGAGGCAGTGAGCAGCAGCCCTGCTCAGCCACGAGATCACGAGGTGAAATAACTGATACACTAGAGTGTCCTGTGTTGTCAGTGGTTTTGGGATATCGTGTTTTGTGTTTTCGCATCCCATCATGTCTATAACCTATGTATGGAAGTATATTGTCCTCCGTTGGTTCTCACTTTGAACTGTGTCTCCTGCTTCTGGTGAGAAGAGGAGGACAATTACTCCTGAGATAAAACTCAAGATAATTGCCAAACTGTAGGGTAAAGTAAGTGTTCCGAGCACATTTAAGGCAGGCTAGGCTAAGCCATCATGTTCAGTAAGTTAGGTGTATTAAATGCACTTTTGACTTATGATATTTTCAACTTATGATGGATTTATTGGAGGTAACCCTACCACAAGTAAAGGAACACCTGATATCAAATGAGTATTGTAAGGAAAAATACCCTGCAACTTTAATAGAAAGAGCTCTCTTTCTGGACTGAAGTGGTAGGTGAAGGTTTCCTTAAGAAACAGTACCGACTTCATACGTGGGAGATTAAAAGAGATACTGCATGGAACCATAGCAAGTTCTCAGCAAATGTGAGCAGAAGTAAAAAACAATAATCCATCAATTAATTGCCATTCCTTCCCAGTTTGATAGGTGGTATGGTAAATTAGGAAGAGGGCAAGGCCAGGGGTGAGGAAACTTAAACTCTGTCTAGCCTGAGCTCTGACTCCACCAGCTGTCTGACCTTGCGGAAGTTAACACACCCTTCTGGGCCTCGGTTTCTTTTTCCATAAAATGGGAATGATTTTATCTGCCAAATCTATTCCACAGGGTAATTGTGACGATTCAATGAAAGAATGTAAATTGAAGTGTTTTATAAATCTCAGCAGGGTAATTGAAGCATTTCCCATTACCCTTCTTAGGATAGAAATATTTCCCCAGAGCCACCAGCTCCCTGGTATTGTGAGAGAGTGAGGAATCCATGAACATGTTAGAGTGATAGCACAAGAACAGCTGACGGCCCTGGCGATTATAATTTAACATTTCTATGGCACTTAAATCTTACAAGTATTTTATTAGCCCAATTACTAGTAAATCCGCCAAGAGTTTGTCAGACAGATTATTTTTGCAACTCTTATTACTGGTAGAGGAGGTGACACACAAAGACATGGAGCCACTTTTCCAAGCTCACCAAACAGGGCAAAGATGAGGACCTGATCCTGCAGTCCTAACCCATTGACTTGTACTGGCCACTGCACTGTCATCCTTTACAAGTTTATATACACAATCAAATACTCCTGGTGACAGAGCTGTCCACACAGCTTCATCAACCCACCAGTGACTTGCTAATAGTTCAAATACATTGTGGTTTGGAAGACTCTCCAAAGTCTAAGGCATCCTCTTCCTTGTCCTTCCATCACCACCTACCACCTCTCTCTCTCTCTCTGCTTGTTTGTTTTTACTGAACCAGCTGGCTCTTCAGAAATAGTTTGTGTGAAGTCTAGAAACAGAGATGCAGAAACTCAAATTTGTAAGAATTATAAAAACCTACAAGGGCTAAGAAGGACGGTCAGTTCTTGTGTTTTTATTATTTACTAGAGGCCCGGTGCACGAAATTTGTGCACGGTGGTGGTGGGGGGGGGGGTTGTCCCTCAGCCTGACCTGAACCCTCTCCAATCTGGGATCCCTTGGGGGATGTTCGACTGCTGGTTCGATCCTGTGGGATGGGGCTTAAACTGTCAGTCGCACATCCCTCTCACAATCCGGGACTGCTGGCTCCTAACCGCTCGCTTGCCTGCCTGCCTGATTGCCCCTAATTGCTTCTGCCTGCCAGCCTGATAGCTCCCTAACTGCTCCCCTGCCGGCCTAACTGCTCCCCTGCCAGCCCGATCGCCTCAACTGCCCTCCCCTGCAGGCCTGGTCCCCCTAACTGCCCTCCCCTGCTGGCCTGGTCACACCAAACTGCCCTCCCCTGCAGGCCTAGTTGCCACCAACTGCCCTCCCCTGCTAGCCTGTTCGCCCCCAACTGCCCCCCTGCCAGCCTGGTTGCCCCACAAAGCCTGCTGTTCAGTCATTTGGTTGTCCCTCACTAACACCCCTGCCAGCCTGGTCGCCCCACGCAGCCTGCTGTTTGGTCGTTACTGTTACTATGATGGCGTCCCAGACAATTTGCATATTCCTCTTTTATTAGTATAGATTACTTCCTATAGAGTCACTGGTGCTGTAACTTCATAGTTCAACAGTGAACTTGTATATGCAAGTAGCAAAGCTGTAGACTTTGCAATTCCAAATATTTAAATACATAAGTTCTTCCTTTATTTTTCCCAAATAGGATCCCTAAAAAAGACTTCATGGTGGCAGGGGAGTGGGAGGTAACTATTAGGGGGTGGTAATTATGTGGAGATATTACCAGTATAGTGGTGTCAGCATAGTATCTTATCGGCATATTGCTAGTAAGGCCTCCAAAAAGTCCCATCTGAAGGTCTGAAAAAAGTAGCTAAAGATCTGTGAACATTTCTATATAATAGATATGAGCGGGGTTTTGATTAAGTTCTTGAAGCTTTTCAGTTGGTCTTTATCAGACCCTTGTTAGTTTAAGGCTGTTGCTGCCAATAACTGGCAGTGTCAGGTGGAAAAATATTGGGAGAAAAGTCACTCTAATTTTTATTATGTCAAACTTGGAGTAAGAAAATGAAGGGAGAAATAAATGGGGGAAAACAGCATGAATAATATATTGGCATATTTTCTTCTGCTTTCTCATGCTTTATGTTGAAGCTGGTATGAAGTCATTTCATATTCCCAATGAAATTAAGTGCTAAATTTTTTAACTTGTTATTCGTTCTGCATGTTTGTAGTCTGGTAGAATGTTCTTGCTGGGATGGAATACAGAGATATCCAGTCCAACTTTATTACTTTGCATTTAGAGGACTGAGGTCTACTACATGTCATAAACCAGTGTTGTCCACATTGAACTGTAATGGGCTATCTAATGGGTATTTTTGCTTTGCTATTTGTTTTTTCTAGGAAAGACTTCAATATGTATTTATCTCAAATCTCATTGTAGTTTTAGCATATTAGAGTGTGATTACAAATATGACTGAAGTTTTTACTTGTGTGTATCTTCACTTATTGAGAAAGCAAGAATGTCGTTCAATGAAGTGGAACATTGTTTCCAGGATCCTGATCCTGATCCTGATCAATCAGACAACGTCAGCCCAAATCCATTGCTTGTGGCTCTTTGTTACAAACTCTGCTTAATCATCCGTGGGCATTTTGAGGGGGAAGCCAAAGGGAATGGAATATACCTCACCCAAATTGTTTTTGGAATGAACTAGAATATAAAAATCCCGACGGAGTAAGTAAATAAATCACACACACGCAGCCCATATTTACTCCTCTTCCATTGAAGGTGAAAGTACATAGTGAATTCCCACTTTGTAAATTAACCCAATCTTAGTGGAACGGGGGTGATTGACATGGTTTGCACCAGAGGGCAGCATGCTAATAGCAGTAGCTTCCATTCATTGCCTTGTCTTGTGCCTGCAATTGTGCCTTCTCCTTTACATGCATTATATCATTTAATTCTAGCTACTTTTTCATATGAGGAAACAAAATCAAGAGGATGAGAAGTTTGTCTAAAGTCTCTATGTGTCTATAATTTTCTTACTCTACACCTGGATTTGGTGAGCTATACATACTGAAAACATGCTTTGGCCTTAGATTTGTGTTTGAATATAAATCTATAAACTGCTTTTTCTTTTATTATTGACTTATCTCTTTAATAGCAATCAAATGAAGAAAATGAAAGTTTTTAGGAGATTATACTAACACATTAGCATTTAGAGGAACAAAGATTGTGCTTTTAAATCAGATTTTCTTGTTCATTGCATCAAGTGGCTATTGGCATTTATAGGAGCTTCTCAAGCATGTTTCAAGCTGATCTAGCAAAGTAGAACTTTACATGATTCACCTGAATACCTCAGAGGCCTTGATCTGCAGTCGTCTTTTATGTATGAAAAACTGGCATCCTGTCTATTCCATCTGGAAACCCTCCCCTTTGACAAAGAGTGTCAGAGAACGCAGGCAAATTAGTGACTAAGTGGAAATGTTAAGCTTGAGCTTCCACTATTTGGGGCAGGTTTTGATAAGACAATCACCTTGGATCCCTTAGTTCGCTTGGCCAGCAGAGACATGATCTCACAGTGTTACTAACCCTTTTTACCAGCTCAGCTCTTCTAAAGCAAATTAAAATCATGGCTTGATTGCTGTTGGAACACTTGGGGTAAGCCATGGCTGATAGTGAGGAGATGTAGAACATATAATTGATTTAAATCTAAATCTATGTTTCTACAGCTATGTGTCCTAAGCAAGGCCCTTGTCAGAGCCTTTTTGACTTGTCTCATAGGCACTCTCAGGGTATCTAGTCCACCAGCTGTCCACCTTGACAAAGTACGGATTCCAGCAGATGACTCAAGAGTATGAGAGAGTCTCATCTCTCACTGATTTGGATCACCCCAGCCATGGTCCGCCTTTTAAGCATCCACAGCTGTTGTTCTAAAACCAGAGTTGCTTTGGTTTGACTCATGGTAGCACTGCATCTTGGGATATGGGGAAATATCAGTGTCACTGAGAGGACCCTATCACTTTTATTGTACTTTTATACTTAATAAAAGGCACATTTATTGCAAAGAAGCCTATCTTGAATTCTGTGGAATTCTGTCATTTGTTACTGATTATTGCTCTCATAAAGGATTATGTATTTTCAAATTTATTTAATGTAAACTCTCTTAACCAGGACTTTATTAAAATTCATATAGGGACTAAATAAGAATATTGTAAAGAAAGCATTACTGAAAAATTCATGGGAATAGTGGTAAATATAAACCAAATGTAAAAAGTATCTAAGAAAATTGCCTTGTTTGAGAACCCCAACTCTTACTAAAATAGATAAGCTAATTCTAATTATTTTCTCTATTGATTTGAGTGCACTCTTGGGAATTCCATTAAGCCACATTTTGTTGGCTGAAATTAAGTCATGCAAATAATAAAAAATGCATTGCCTTTTAAAAAATACCCTATAATTAGAATGGTCACTAATTCAAACTGATCTTTTTTATAACTGGTCTGAATTAGTGAGGCTTTTATAGAATTACTAGCCACCATCAATTTAATATGAAATGATGTAAAATTACTTTACATAGTCCTTTAGTAATAACCATAGTTAAGAATATCAGGCCAATAGGAAAGAAAATTTTGCCTAGGGAGTTCACATTCTTCTCTTCCGATGTATGATGGGAACTCTGATTTTCTTTTCCTTTTTTTCTTTTTTTTTAATTGATGGCTTGCTGCTCTGCCATTTTTTTAATCATTGAGGAAAATAAAACATAGACAAACACATAACTCAAATGCAGCTCTGAAACCGAATAAGGTAGCAACCTGTTATTAAATTTGAGCAGTCTCACCACTTTTAAAAAGAAGAATCAGGTTTCAGGCTTTAGCTTTGTGCTTGACATTTAGACTTTGTCACTGAGTCTGAAGCACTTGATGCTAGGCAGACTATGGACTGATGGGAAAACTTAATGAGTTACTATTTCTTTCTAATAGTTCTAGCCATATACTTGTTTTCCTTCCCAGATGCAATGTGGTACAGGATTTCCTATTGTATAACTGGTGGGTGAATTCTTAAATCATAGTGCTGTTTGTGGCACTCTTCCAGGTAGATATACAAGGAGTGTCTCCACACGGCCAGTGTCCTTTCCCTAGCTATCTACAGAGGCTGCAATTCTATGACAAAATGCTCTTTTTTTCAAGAAATAGATTCACCAGGAAGGTAACTAGGTATTGAAATATGGCAAATGTTACAAAGGATTTTTTAATCCCTCTGGTGCCAAATCTTCATTGTTCGATGGGTAAAGAGATCCCCAAGGAGGTGAGATGAGTAGAAGTGGTAATATTTCTCACGTGCACTGGCCCCAGGTGTCTCCTAAGAACATGCGTGCTATTTGCAACCTGAGAGAAGGTAACACGCAGATGCTTATGCAGTGGCAGTTCAGATTTACAAAGGCAATAGCAACAAATCACTGTCAACGCGGGTCAAGTTCCGACTCAAAAGTTATTTAACTGTCAGTTTCCTTTGGGGTTATCCCCCCCTGTCATTCAGATGGTCCTCACTGAAGTGGAAGCACTAAAAAATGGCGAGCAAAAGTCCTTAAACAATCGTCTCAGCTCTGAGTTCCCACTGGAGTTCCTGTAAGTCCCTGGTGTGTGGCCTCCTGGACACACATTAGATATTATCCAACTAGAAAGCATTGGCCCCTATCATTCAGGATATGGAAATTGCTGCTGCTGTAACTAACCAGTGTATGCACTTAGTTTTAAATAGGGTGTGGTTTACAAGAATTTTAATTTATGGCCATGGACATTACCCACTTCAGGTCTAATTTCAGCTGGAACAGTTATTTGACAAGGCATTCATGTGGCTAAGAACCTCTGCCTCTTTTATTTAAGCTGCTGATAGATTTAGCTGTTCCCTTTTTGAAGATTTGCACATTTCCTGGCTTACTTGGAACTGGTACCATGTGGGATCAAAGACAACTGGAGACCCTGTATTAATTCTAATAAATGTTAAAACAAAAGTTAAGCTCCATTGTCTGGTTTCTGTTGTAACTGGAAAGAATGGCTCATTCACAAGAAGAAAATGAATAAAAAATTAGGAACAGTGTGCCTTATCTATTCCAAATGTGGACATAGATATCTGTTTTGTTTTTCTCTCACTATATCATACAGCAAAAAAAGTCCCATTTGGCAACAACTCTGGGGCCTTCATCTGGGTCTTCTGCTCTTGGGATGGGAGGAACCAACTCCATTTATAGCCCTGGCTCTCCTTTCTTGTTCCCTCGCTTTTGCTTCTATTGTTGTAGAGAGGCCCATGATGGCAGTGGCATTCCTGTCCCTGTGCCATGCTTCAACCTCCTTTGCTGATATATGTGAGCATGGGCTGGTATTTGGCAATAATTTTGCTTTAGAGGAGACATAAAACATTTGTCAACTTTGCTTGGGGATTGGCCCCCGATGCTAGCCTGAACTTGATTTCATGGGCCATCTCCTGAACTCGTCTCATTGTTCAGGACTTGGAGCCTCCAGGATGACTGTTTTCTCTCCCTGGAATCATAGTCTTCTACTTATAAATCTACAACAAAGAATCATAGGGGAATAAAAGGAACATAAAACCTGGAAAACTAAATTCCAACTGATGGCAAGTCGTCTAGTATTTCATTTTTCACATGTGATATTTTCTCAGGTTTTTTAGTCACCAAAAACGTTTCTGCAAGTTAGTAGAGAGTCTGTGGGATTGTAATACAGTTTTATTGTATGAGGGATTCAGTGATTCCCAGATATTTCAAAAGAACTGAAGATTGTTAGGATTATCAATTACTGATATGATTATGGAACCCAATTTCTAAATTTGGCCTGAGGTGAGTTTCATTTTCCTCATAAGTAAAATGGGGAAAATAATTTTTACTTGGTGTGATTGGTGTGAACATTAATGGAATGGTGCATACGAGACACTTAGTACTATGCCTGGCTTGGAATAAACACTCAATAAATGGAAGAACATACACACACACACACACACACACACACACACACACACACACACACACTGTTTTGTTTCCACTTTTACGTCTTATCTACTTACACCTTCTATTCAGAAGGCCCCTTTATCTATATATCTAGACTTTATATCTGGCCTAATATCTAGTGCCTAACCAGCTGTTACTTATATTCCCATTTAGCTGTACTTTAAATGGTCATATGTTTCTTTGGCCTAATGACTGTGCTGTTTGAAGGGAACCCATTACAATGGTGATTTTAGGATTCACAAAATCATGTAACTTTAGAACTTGATTTAAAAGATGAGGACTATGAGGTCTAGAGAACTGAGATAATTTCCCCCAGATCACGCACTTTCAAATCTAGATTTCTGGGTTGTCAGTGTTGTCTCTTACACATACAACAGAGTTCTTTGGAGCTGAGAGAGTCTGGTCAAAGCTCAGGATTCAGATTGAGAAGGGATTAAGTTTGTAGGTAAAAGAGGACTTCATAGTGATAAGATGGTTACAATTTGTGTGAGCTTGTTCAAGTTACTTAACTAATTTCTCCATTTCTAAAATAATATACACCCTACTTATCTCACAGGATCTGTGAGATCTAGATTAAAGAGAATGTTGTGAGTAAATAGTTTGTAAAATGGGCAAATATTAAGTCACAAATAGTGGCTTGAGATCCTCCAGTTTTCAAAGTAATAAGTTCTCTAGACCAGTGGTCCATGAGGTCCGAAAGGTTGGCGACGGCTAGTTTAAGGAAACCTTTGTAGCAGCGGTCACCAACTGGTGGTTCGTGAGGTCCGAAAGGTTGGCGACCGCTGCTCTAGACAGTCCAAATAGGAAAGAAATTTTATTCCTTTTAAAGAATATTCTCAGAATATTCTTTTAGCTGTAGCAAAGAAAACTAAAATTAATTATTATATTTTTAATGGGTTAGGAGTTGAATGTATTTGACTTGGAACCTTTCATCATTCTCTATGACTCTCAAAATGAGGGAATTGCTAAATTGTCCTCCTTTACGGAAAAGGAATTCACATGTCTGTGTATTTCTCTTTGGTATAAAAATCTACAAAATCCTTTTTCCTCCCAGCCCCGTGAAATTAGGCTTATCATGGGCTCAGCAGATTTTTTGGCTGATTTTAGTTAAATATTTTTTCCAGTTAGAAAAAAGTCATTCCACACATTGCAGTGTAATTCCAGTGATATAGACCCAGCAACTCAAGGTGGGACCTCCCCAAGTTGTCTGGAGGGAGGCTTGAAAATCCCTTACCTACTGTAGCCAGCTACACACCATGTTCCTCCTTTGGGATTTATGGTTTAATTTTCTTTCATAGTCTTACTTTATTTAAAGGGCTGGGAGATTATAGGTGGCCAGTCGGCATCTTAATTAAGGTGAGGGGAGGGGAGTTGTGAATTGAATACAGGCTTTCCACTGGCTTTTGAGGAAAAGATCCCATGAATGATCACTCGGTCTCTGTTTTCAGATCAGACTCCGACCCCAACGAGATTCCTGAAGAACTGCGAGGAAGTGGGACTCTTCAATGAGCTGGATTGCTCCCTAGAGCATGAGTTCAGGAAGGCTCAGGAGGAGGAGAGCAGCAAGCGGGTAGGTTTGCTGGGATGGACACCTCGAGAGGTGCCTCCTCCAGCACCTGGTGGAAACTCTTGGTGGAAATGGATGGCACTGCAGGTTGATTGCTAATGTGGCCTGGCCCTTAAACAGTATTTTATCCATTTGCAAATGTCCGTTTAATGTTTTGTTTTGTTTTGTTTTAAAAAAGGATGAATCCCTGATTGTGATAGAACCTGAAGCTAGAAAAATCACAGAAAAAACTGATATCTGAAATACTAAATTCAAGCAAAAAAACAACAACAAACAAAAAACAACACACTATCTGATTCTTGAATCTGAGTCATATAAACTCACAGACATTTTCTGTTCAAAACTAGTTGTTTTCCTAAATATTTAATAGCAAGCCTTACAAGAGTCAGAGACAACAGGTGAAAAATTATTGCAGTATTAAAGGAGGTTTCTCTAATTTTTGACCCAGGTTTTAACTTTGATGTCTATAATCTGCCCAATAGATCTCTACCATGTTCACAGTTACTTCCTAGTTATATTATGGAACATCTGTTGTTATTGAGATAAATAGGTTAACTGGAGGTATGGAAAGTGCCTTTCTTTTTTTAAGAAAATCCACTTTATGAATCCCTCCAGAACATATTCAGTTTTATTGTAATGTTGTGCTGGCATTTTCCAATCACTTTATAAGATTAAGGAAAGGAAATGAAGTCATAAGTAAGTGTGATAATGAAGCATTTTAGTATTTTTTCATTGTTTTTATAGAGCATTATTGAGTGCCCAAAATGTACGAAACAACAAATTAGACACATTCCATGAAAAGTCTTAAAATGTGAAAGTTGGTTGGCAGGAAGGACCAGCTAGGTTGTAATGGATTCTGAAGTTCCAGCTGTTCCATCCGGAGAAGAAATTTTAAAAGGCTCTGATGTTTCCCTAAGTGTTTCAAAACCTTTGAATCCTCCTCTATGTGAAATTTTAATAATCCCTCTCCACCAGGTTTTTCATGTCATGTTCTCACATCAAAATAGTCAAAGGCTTGTATTCAGCCCATACTGCTTTAGAAAAAAATCAGGAGAATAGGTGAAGAGTACAGTAAGAGGGATATAAAATCTCCGTCAACTCATTTTATTTGTTTATGATTAATTTGTCATTCATACTTGATGCCTCTATCCCTACCACCTCAGTGATAGGAAAGGGCCTTTTTTCTTTTTCTAAGCAAACACTTATTTAGCATTTATTTGCCAGACACTGTTCTAAGCACTTAAAAAATTAACACAATGAAAATAAAAGGTGCATATTCTATATTTCATTCCATTAGAAATAAATTTCTTAAAAAAAACAACCTATAAAAATAGCAAGGGAGAAGAAGAGTCCCAAACCAAACACTTGAGTAAATTTCCCCTGGTTGAGTAGTAAATTTAGCTCTCCTGATAGGCATGGCATATGTAAAAGACTGAAGGACTAAGTTAATTCATGCCTCAAGCTAGTCGAGGTTGGAGTTTTAGATTATACTGTACTATATGAAAGGTGTGTACGTGATTCATTCTGTCTTCATTTCTGATAGAGTGGATTTAACTGAAGTGGATGCCTTTGATTTTCCTAAAGACATTTACCAAGGACAGCTTTAGGAAGCCCATGGTAGGGCTGTGATTTTAGGTGGTCTCCATTATATAGTACTGATGATCTCCTATATGAAGTCCCGTGGGAGGAAATTCTTGCAGATCTGAATTCCAGGAAATAGTTTGCTCCCCCTGAGGAACTGAAATATTTTTTTCTCATGGACCTGAGAATCATGTAACCGGTTCTGTTTCTCTTTTCGCTTTGACTGCTTGGTTAACATAAGCCAAATTTACTGCTTACCTTTCAGAACTTGGTAGAACATGGTCATGAGGGCATTTTACTTCCTCCAAGACTAGACTTTCAATTCCAGTTTATATTTCCTCTGGTCCAGATTTTTAATTTAAGAAACATTTTCATGCTATACATTTCTTTTATGAGTTGAAAAAGAGTATAAATAATTAAGCTTTAAAAATGAAGATAATTAGGCAAGCAAAGTTGAAAAAGAGGACTATTATAGTTGTATTTTCTCTTTTAAATGTCGCTCTTAGCCATGTGATGATTTCTTGATGGGTATGTACTGGTGGGGATCCTACAGCCAGATTTCCCCATGGTTTGGGGGCAGACCTCTCATCAGGTCACTGTCTCATACCCCCACGTCACTTGCACGCCCTGGAAGGCTGTTGAGGTATCCTCTTCCCTTGCCTTGTTCAAACCAGATGGGCCAAATCCAGCCTCGGGTACCGATGACTCCATAAGAGGGCACCTTCTTAAGGCCCATTGCATGGTGACTCGGTGACTCATCCAAATGGGCTGTATTGATGGCTTCTACTCTAGCATTTCTTTGGAAGCAACAGGGTGGAGAAATGAGGAGGGGATGCTCTCCAATCTGCCAGTATAGTCTTATCCACCATTGGGCCACATTTCTCCAGCTACCAACATCCTTGGCATACTGCCAACCCCCGCTCCCACTTCATTTATTTGTTCCCTGCTTAACAGGTAGGAATACAGCTCTTTATTTAATGCATACCTGATTATACTGAGCGCTATGTTCTCCTTCCCTATTGCTCCACATTCAGATAATCATTTCTTTTTCTTTCTATATCCACAGCTCTCTTCTGATTTCTTTTCCTCCTTGTCTTTTAAGAAAAGACTTGCATTCATTTCCTCAGCAAGTTTTGGTCAAGTGGAAGATGGATGAATTGATCTGGAGAATTTGCTTATAAAGTCTTGCTAGAACTTTCTAAGTACTTTATACAAAATAGTTGAAAGATTGAGGTGGTCATTCCCTGTACCTTTAAATTTCTAGCTGTAGTTTGATCTAGTAAAGAGTAAATAGAGAGTTGATCTTTGCTTCTCCCATGTGGCTGTACAATGGGGAAAATTACATTCTATAGACTATCACTAACACTTTACCAAAAGTATCCCACTGTGTGCATACAGGGAGGACAGGCTAGAGGCAGGCCATTGCCACTAGAAAAAGCCCCAATGTCTATATACATATCATAAATAGCAAGCAACACATTTTACAGTTGTCTCAATTTTCTGTGTTAGTGTAAGTTCAGAGCTTCAAAACTCTTTAATAAGAGACTTTGCCCCTTGGAAAAGCTTCCCTCACTAGCAGGCATCATAAATTTAAAGTTGGCCCTAATGGATTTGGCTCAGTGGTTAGAGTGTTGGCTTGTGGACTGGTCTTGGGTTCAGTTCTGGTCAGGGGCACACACCTCCATTGCAGGCTTGATCCCCTGCCCCAGTCAGGTTGCATATAGGAGGCAACCAATCAATATGTCTCTCTCACATCAATGTTTCTTTTTCTGTCTCTCCCCCTCCTTTTCATTTTCTTTAAAAAAAACCAATGGAAAAAATATTCTCGAGTGAAGATTATTTAAAAAAAAATTAAACTTGCCTCTGGCTTACAAATCAGGCTAGTCCATGTCCTAAAACAGATGAGAAATTATTGTTCATTATTTATCCATTCAGGAAAAATTTTCAAGTGCCCACCACTTGCCAGGCACTGTGCAAGGCATTGGTGAATATACTACTGACTAAAGCTGGTAAGAAGAAGAAAATAAAACAATCTTGCCTTCATGTAACTTACTCCTAGTGGGCAAGACAAACAAGAAGCAAGTAAAGACAAGAAAATGTATAACTTGTCAGAAGATAAGTGCTAAGGAGAAAAATATGGCAGGGAAGGAGCACAGGGTGGTGAGGGAGGGCATGGCTGGTGATTGGACATGTGGTAGAGACCTGAAAAAAGGAGAAGGCCTGAACCAGGTGTGTGTTGGGGAAAACAGTATTCCAAGTAGAGAACCAATAAGGAAATGAAGTAAGGAAAAGGTCTGAACATGGAACTTGGCAGAGCCCTCCAGAATCTTCCAATACAGGGTATTCAACTCTCCTCAGTGGCCAGTAATGACACAAGATCATGAGGCATGAAGATTCAAGTCAAGTATGGGACCCCTTTCAGTAATGCTGAATGGAGTCCAACAACTGGCAGTTGGGATGCTGATTTTGTGTTCCATATTAGAGGGGGAGAAAGATTATTTAAAAAAAAGAAAGAAAGAAAGAGGAGGGTGAATTAACCTTTTACATTTGATTTCTTTTTTATTAAGATTGACTAATGCAAATCTAGGAAGCCAGAGAAAGCTTCGCCATCTGATAACAGCTTTGTGCAAGTGTACGTGTGTGCATGTGTAAGAAAGGAAGGGGAGTTGAAAGGACTAGAGATTAACTCCTTTGTCTTCCTGAGAGAGATCTAACATCCCAGCCCAACGTGGTTAAAGACCCTGAAGATGAAAAGTGCTGGTATAAGTGCTAAGTGTTGTTATTCTCCCATAGGACCTAAATCTGACTCATTATGCTGATGCAGCAATAGCAAATTAGGACATTTCCATGCGCTAGAATTCCTACCCAAATGATGAAAAGTGCAGTCTATTCCCAGAGGGTGTTGACTGTTTAACACATGGGAACAAGGGACAAGCTACAATCTTAAGATCTTGCATCCCAGCTCAACAGGAGTCACAGAACAGGGCAAGGCCGGGTCAGTCTCAGCTCAGAGGAGTAGGCTGCTCAATCTGATTAAATTCTGTACCTGGAAATCATGTTACCCGACACCACCAGCTCTTGGGGGAGAGAGGATGCAGAGAGGGAGGCGCTTTGCTTTGCTTTGCTTTCCTACACAGTCTTGCTCTATCAGCCACTAGCTGGCCTGGCTGCTCTCTGGGGAAGGTGTGAGTGGCTCTGGATGGAAAAGAAAAGACACAGAATTGAGCAGACTTGCAACAGCTGCATGTTTCTGGTTGTGTTATGTTTTCTATGATATTTGTGTAAAACTATCCCCCTGTCCCCCAGAAGTCTGGAGGAAAGAATATCCTGAAACCTAAACTTGGTTTTATCCGAGTATTTAAAATGTCACCATGCTTGTTAAATTGTAGTGGATGAGACTGTTTTTGATCTTTTTGGATTTT